GTGTCATTGCTGCCAGAGAAGACGCTCGCTAATGGGATTGGCTCCACCACTGAGCAGGACAAGGATGGGTCATTCTGCAGAAAGCAATGGTGGGCACCTTTCCTAATCCCACACCAAGCATGTGAATTTTGTGAAAGGTGTAAATATTCGCTTCTCCCAACACCCCACACTGGGGAAAGGGCCTTCATGGAGTGCAGCAACAAAGGTTGGCTTCGGAGAGGTAGGGGCATGGGGTGGACGGTAAGTTTGTCTGTTGTTTGAAGGATGGTCTTGGGAAGGCTGGCCCAGGGTGCAATGCTCTTGGTCTTCTCCCAGCACAGGCAGCTGCATGGAGAAATACACCCTGGGCAGAGCTCAGTGCTAGCAGACCCAAGGAGGGACAGGCATAGGAGTGAATAACTAGAAAGTCTGGATTTGTTTTAAAAAGTAAAAGAAAGAAAAAAAAAAATTGGGACCTTCATCTGCCTTCTGGTTCCAAAGTCTTCCCATGGTTGGGTGTAATTTCTACAGCTATGGATTGGTAAGGCATCTTCTCTTTAGATAGGTCTCAGAATCATGTGACTCTGGAAGCACGGAGATTTGAGGAAGAGCTATTGCATGTCATGAACTTTGCAGCTGAGGGGGCCTCTGTTGGACAGAAAACCTTCCCACCTGGGCAGTGCTTCTAGGAGACAGTCTGACTTGGGAGCCAGCAACTGGGTTGAGAGGCTCCGAGTGTTGGGAGAGGATCAAAAAGTTCCCCTGGTAGTAAATCTTTCACCTGCCATGTTACTCACTGGGGCTTGTGGCCATTCCTCCGAGGTCGGCCCTGGGTCAGGATTTCTCCTGTCTCTTTAGCCCCCAAACCTGGAGATTTTTGTCTTATCTTTGACGCCATCTTGACACCGAAAACAAATTATGGCCCAATTACCCTTACTGTGAGGGGCTGGGACTACCTTAAATGGCCAGAACTATCAAGCGCTTCCTTAAGAGCGGATAATTAGAGTGGGGTGCAGGGTGGGGAGGGAGCAAGGACTGGGGGGGACCCCTGGCATGGGGCTGTCCTTACCCCCAGCTTGGCCTGGCAGGAGGGCACATCCCACCCAGCCCCATCCCGTCCCATCCCATCCTGTCCTACTTGCCCTGGCCTGGCCATGCTGCACCCCTGGGCTCTGGAGAGGCCAGAGCAGAGATGGAGCTCCCTGCTGCTCCCCACCAGCTCAGTGTCTGGGGGTTTCACCCTGCCCCATCCCTCCCCCAGCCCCGTGTCACCGGCTGGGGCCAGGCCAGAGAGGCCCCGTGACCGGAGGCAGCAGCCCTGGCCCTGGCCATGACCTTCAGGGTGACCTTGAGTGAGTCCCTGCCAGGGCTGGGGACCGGCTGTGCCTCTCATCCCGAGCAGGGACACTTCTGTGCTCACCCCAAGGAAATAGCGAACAGCAGCATCACTGCCAAACTGCCTTAACAACTGCCCTGAAACTTAAAAAATTTCTTTTTCTTCCCCTCTTTCAGTGACATTAAAACGCCCTCTCCTCTGCCGCGTGCCTGGGCATTTCTTGCCCAGGGTTGTGCTGTCCACCTGAAACCAGCGGCCGTTTTGGGGACCGACACACGCTGAGCTGAGTGCCAGCCCGCAGCCTGGACCGTGCTGATCTGGGGGCTGCTGCCTGCCTCTCCCCGCCCGGGGAAGGTGCTGTTGGGTGCGTGTGGAGCTGGGTCCCTTCCAGGATCCAGCCCAGGGAGCCGGGAAGTGGAACTGTGCAGAAATATCAGAAGTTCCCCTGGCCTTGCAGGTTTGCTCCAGGTACCCTCACACTCCTGGGTGAGTGGGCGGCTGGGGCTGGGTGCCTCCTTCCCTTTTTTCTTTTTTTTTCTTTTTTTTTTTTTTTTTGTCAGATTGGTATTTTATTTGGCTCCATACTGTCTACCGAGCTGTCCAGTGTAACCCTTCCCTTGCTGCTTCTGAGATAAGAATAGGCTCCCCTGAGATCAGATAAATAGGCCCATAAATACCTACAACAACAACAAGCAGGGTCTGGGCTTGGCAGGAAGGCAGGAAAAAAAAAAAAGGGGGGCAAAAAGGGAGCCATTTCTTGGCATGCCAAACCCCAGGGGTGCAGAACATGGGGTGGGAAGTGCCCGACAGTCCCTCTGCCCCCAATGCTTGCCCCCTTGGCCAGGCAGGGGGGCGAGACGGTGCCCCGGGGCCAAGCGATCCCTGCGTGCGTGTGCTTCTGGCCGGGCAACTGCAGACTCAAGCATGCGTGCCGGGAACATGCTGCTTCCCAACCGCATCAAGTTCACGGTAGGGTCGAGCCGTAGGTGTGTGCAGGGCCACCTCCCCCTGGCTGATGAGCTAGGCTCTCAGATGGCCAAAAATTCAAAGCTGGTGGCCAAACTGTTCTTCTTCCACCCAGATTTGGTGCAGCCAGCACCGGGAGCCCCGCCGCTGGCTGCCAGAGGCTGGCCGGGAGGCCCTCCCGGCCGCTCAGGAGGAGAGGCTGCCCCTCTGCAGGGCTCCCACCCCCCCTGCCACTCCTCTCCCTTTGAAGGTGAGGGGGGTGACCCCATTCTAGGCTGGAACCAGTGCTGAGCTCAGCATCAACACCCCTTCCCGGCCCCGGGGTGCCGAGGTGGGGGAGAGCTCACTGCTTGCCAATACACCTCTTCCAAAGCGTGCATTTTTGGGGAGCAGTGAAGCCCCAGGGTACAGGGAATGTTTAGTGCTTTTTTTTCACCCACCCTCCCCCAAAATGCTGAGCCGATCTCACAGGAAAATCCCCTTGCTAGGCAGGGAAACCCTCTGCAGATGTGAAAACGGAAAGCGTTTTCACTTGCAAAATCACAAAGGAGTGAGGAGGCCGGCACCGGGGACACCTTTCCCAGAAGTTTGCAGCCGGCAGGTACCACTGGCCAGAAACCTGTGGTAAGAAAAGCAACAAACCTGCGGATGCAGGCAGAGCATCGCCCCGGCTGCGCAGGGTGCCCCCTTCCCAGACGCAAAGCTCGAAACCCGTAAGAAAAAAACCCGTCGTAAGTTTTTGGTGGGGTAGGGGAGGGTCCCCATGCCGCAAACTATCCCCCACGCTACATTCGGGATAGAGTCTGGTGTGCCGGGCAGAGGACACTGCAGAATCCCCCTCCTTAGGCAGCAGAGCAAGCCCCAGAGCCCCGTTTAACCCTTTCTCTGGTCCGATGCCGAGGGGCAGCCCCGACTGGTGCCGTATGGATACAGGGATATGGGCTGGCACACGGAAACGGGATTGGGGCTGGGCACATTTATGGGGCACTGGATTACAGTGTTAATGATGGCTTGGGAGCTTCACCGTAAAAACCCCAGCCCTTTAAGGGACTGTGAAACTTCACCATAGAATAGGGTATTTGGGGCTGATTTTCTGCACATTTTCTTTTTTTTTCTTTTCTTTTTTTTTTTTTTCCTTGAATGTGTTTGGTTTTAGAAATGCCCTGTTCTAGCTTCACTCATGGACTCGGTGCCGTGCTAAACTTTTTATAGCCCGAACAAAACAATACCACTGCGGGCATTGCTCTGCTCAGGCAGTCAATTTTCATCTCAGCCTCATTCGAGAAGATCAGAAAACAGATCTGGGGCTGGGAAGGCAGCCGTGCAGCGGCTCCGAAGCGAGGGAAGGCTGATTCACGCAGCCTGATCATTCTGCAAGTTTTAATTACGCTGGCCATACCCCCCCAATGTTTGTGTGTCCATCCATCCGCATTTGCAGACACGCACAAAGTGGTTTTAAAACCCGAGCTGCTTCCCCACGGGTGAGCTGGTATATTTTTGGAGTGTGTGGCTGCACATGCACGGATTGACCGATGTGTCAGCAATTTACAGATGTTGCATCATTATTTCTATACCTTTAGTTGCATGCAAAAGCTTGGTCTAAAATAGAAAATTTAATGCTTCTAGCTGTACCTTCAGATTAACCCTACAATAACACACGAATCTTCCCCCCTTCGGTTTTCTTTGCCCCAGCTGAGCATTAGGGTTTATCCCAGCGTCTCTGGGAACAGTGGCGTGGCCAGGCTGGGGATGCAGGATCAGGCCCTGAGCCCGTGCACCGCACACCATGGAAGCCCCCCGTCAGTAACAGAGCTGTGCGTGCACAGAATAAAGGAATGAGGATTCAGTTTTAATTATTAAGGATTATTAAGGATTTATGCCTGAGAGGTGACAGAGACGACTTTGAGCTGCGTGAGCGTTGCTGCGGCTGAGGCTGGTGTTATCCGTCGTGTTCAGACGGTGAGGAGGTGATGTTGCTCCTTTCAAAACTTAGCCGAGGCAGTGGCTACAAGGGGATCCCCCTGAGGAAGCACTGCCGGTGCCAGGGCCCTGCAGGGGAGCTGCCTGGGCAGGGAAGGGGAGCCGAGCCCTGGTTCTCTGCGTGGCAGCAGTAAAACCAGGGCTCCACAGCTCTACGGTGCTCATGCCATCTAGCTGCTGTAAAGGCCTGATCCTGCCATCCATCCCTGAGCCAAACGTGAGTCACGTCCCTCTAGCAGGTCTCCCGGGTCTGGAGGGAAGGGGCTGCAGGGCAGGGGCAGAGTTCGTGCCCTGGGGCAGCCCGCGAGTGGACATTCCGCGGGCCTGGGATGAGTACGCAGGCATGAAGAAGCCCCAAAGGATCCCACGGAGCTGCCTGAGCCCCACAGGAGGGAATTCCCTCGCATGGGTCGGCCCCACAGCAGGGCACTGACTGTAGGGGAGTCTGTAATCCCACAGCACCGCTCGCCCCTGCGGGCAGGAGGGCAGGGGGCCCGGCCACCACGCCGCGATCTCAGGAGCAGGGGAAAGCAGAGGGGTCGGACCCAAGGCCATTTGCATAAAGTTTAAATTTTATTTAATTTTTTTTAATTTTTTTTTTTTAATTATTCAGTTTTAAATACGTGGTGTGACGCGCCCGGTCCCTCGGGAAGTGGTCATGCAGATCTGAGGTAGAAAACCCGGCACAGGGGTGTTCCCAAATGCACCTCTAGGTAGTTTCACCGCAGCCACACGTCGGTCAGGCAGCGGACGGGGACGGGGAACTGGTATTTACAACAGCAAACGAACCAAACTGTTTCAGCCCGGCCCGGGAGGGCAGGAGCCGCCGGTCGCTGCTGAGAACGGGCAGGAGCAACGAGTACTGCAAACGGGGGAAGGGGCGAGGGGGGGAAATGGCCCCCGACGGGGCGGGCAGGATCCGGCCCCGCCAGGCGCCCTT